GCATATGGGGATGGATGGATGGAGAGGTGGATGGATGGAGGGAGGGGTGTGTATGGGGATGGATGGAGGGGTGTGTACGGGGATGGATGGAGAGGTGGATGGATGGAGGGAGGGGTGTGTATGGGGATGGATGGATGAGGGGAGGGCTGCGTGGAGGACTGGAGGACGTTGGTACCTTTGCAGTCTCAGGTTCTCCATCATTTTCTCCTTTACGGCCTCGTCCTTCCACAGCTGGAAGAAAAAACAGAGTTGGGGGTCACTGCCTTGCCCCCCAGGTGAGGCTCCCGCCCCAGCAGTGCCCCCATCAGTGCCCCCCTGGTGAGGCCCCGCCCCCAGCAACGCCCCCCCCAAGAGGCCCCGCTGCCAGCAGCCCTCCCCCCCCCGGCACTCACGGCCGAGCTGAAGTTGGTCTGTATGATCCCCGGTGCCAGGCAGTTGATGCGGATGTTGAGGGCGCCGAGCTCGGGCGCCAGGGCCTTGCTGAGCCCCAGCAGGGCCGTTTTACTGACGCTATACGGGCCCAGCGCCTGGGTAGGGAGGGGGGAAGATCAGCACGGCCAGTCCCTGCCCCGCCCCCGCCAGCCCCCTCCTGCCCTGCCCCCCGCCCCTCCGCCAGCCCCCCCGTCTCCTGCCTGCTCCCCCACCAGCCCCTGCCCCTCTGACCCAATAGCCAGCCCTGCTCGACCCTACCACCCCCCCTGCCCTGCCTGCCCCACAGCAACCGCCCCTGGTCCCCGCCAGCCACGCCCTGCTCCCCTGCGCCAGGCCCGGGGGCGTCTCACCGGGAAGGGGGAGAACCCGGCGATGGAGGAGACGAGGACGATGGAGCCACCCCTGCGCAGAGAAAGGGAATGAGCCAGAGACCTGCTGCCCCCCGGGCTCCCCCCTTCCTTGTCCCCCCTCCCCCGTGTGTCCCCTCATCGCCACTCCCCCCTGGGTCCCCTCCTTCCCTCATTGCCCCACCCTCCGTGTCCCCTCCCCGTGAGTCCCCGTCCCCTCCCCCCTCATCCATTCTCCCTCATCGCCCCCCCCCAGGGATCTCCTCCCTCATTCCCCCTCCTCCCGGGTACCCCCCCACACTCACCCCCGTTTCTCCATGTGGGGCACGACCAGGCCGACCAGCAATGCTGTTGCTGTCACATTGATCTGCAGGATCTGAAGGGGAGGATCAGGGGGAGTCTGGGTTCTGACCCCCCCATGCCCCATGGCCTTCCGCCCCACAGTCTGCCCCCCAAGCTGCACCCAGGGCCCTTTCCCCTCCCCACCCCATCGTCTGTGCCCCCCAGCTGCCCCCTCTCATCCAATGCCCCTCCTCCCACCCCTCTGACCCCCAGCTTCTCTGCCCCTCCCCCCGACCCCCAGCTGCCCCTAGCTCCCACTACATCCCCTAGTCTCCCAACCTCCCTCTGAGCCCAGTCCCCCTCCCCCCCCAACCCCCGCTCTCTGCTCTGCCCCCCTCCCCCACCTTGTTCCACACGTCCTCGCTGGCCTCGAGCGTGCTGCCGAAGAACGGGTTCA